TAAACGAGAATGCGTCACACTACACAGAAATGAAGACAGACAGAAAAGTGAAGATGACAACTGTAACTATGAAAGACGGAGAATTGAGAAAACACGAAACTACGATGAAAGACTCAGAGAAGAAGAAAATATTGAACTAAATGAAAGACAAAAATATGATTATTGGTGCAGAGAGGAAATTGCACCAAGATACGACCATAGGCGAGAACAAGAATTTAGGCGATGGCAAGATGAAGAAAGATCGCGACGAGAAGACGACGATGGAGGTTATCGCTATTTGGATACGATGTTTAACAAGAAACAAGACTCATTTGCATTAAGTTTTCGAGATGTGGAAGATAGCATTAGGTCTTTCGATGGGAAAGATGAATATCCTATACGAACGTGGATTATGGAATTCGAAGAAGTGGCAGAAGTCACTGGGTGGAAGGAACTCCAGAAGTTAATCTACGCGAAGAAATGTCTGAAAGGCCTCGCAAAACTTTTCATACAATCTGAAAAAGGAATACGAAATTGGTCAACCCTAAAACAAAAACTCATTGAAGAATTTGGAGTTAGCGTCAACAGTACGCAAATACATAAAATGCTATCAACAAGAAGAAAAAAATATGATGAAACTGTGCAAGAGTATATGATTAAGATGAAAGAAATGGCAAGTCGCGCGTACCTAGAGCCTGAGGTGGTTATAGAATACATAATTGACGGAATTCAAGACTATTCTTCAAATAAGATGGTGTTGTACGGAGCTAAAAGTTTTACTGACTTGAAAGAAAAAATTAAGCTGTATGAACAAATTCAGAGGAAAGCTAATCTACACGGACAACCTTCTAAAATAAAGAGAGAGAATTTCAAAAAGAATGAAGATAATAGTACAGCTAAAAAAGAGAATTATGATGTTAGAAAAGAAAAAAAAAATCACTTGTTTCAATTGTGGGGGTCAGGGTCATAAATCAAATGCTTGTCCTGATAAGACAAAGGGAACGAAGTGTTTTAGCTGCAATAAGTATGGGCATGTTTCCAGTAAATGTTTAAATAGAAACCAAGCAAATAGTAGCGCAGGGAGTTCAAGCGTTAATTTGATGTGTGAAACAGAACGAAAAAACACCCTTAAACTTACAATTGATGGAATAATATTAACTGCTTTATGTGACACTGGAAGCGATGTCTGTACCATAAGGGAAGACGTGTATGATGAATATTTTTCAGATACTGAATTAACATCCGATCTCACAGTATTGAAAGGACTTGGCGAAAATGCAAAAATAAAAACATTGGGATCTTTTACAATGCAAGTCGGCATAAATGACGAAAAATTTGAAGTTAAATTCCATGTTATCCCCAAATTATCTACTTCTTTCAAAGCTATAATTGGAAACAATATTTTGAGGCAAGCTACTGTACATATCAATGAAGACGGGATAATGATATACAAGAAATTAGACCAAAATTTTACCATGCACATTATAACAGAAGATCCTAAGGAATCAGAAATTGTAGTAGAACATATAAAAGACAAAAATCAAAGAGAGATAATTAGGAAATTGATTGATGATTACAAGCCGGAAAAAACGAAGACAACAGATATTGAGATGAAAATATTACTAAAAAGCGATGAACCAATTTACCAAAGACCATGACGATTATCAGTACCTGAAAAAGAAGAAGTGGATAGACAGATCCAAGAATGGCTAAAAGACGGTATTATCAAAACAAGCTGTTCGGATTTTGCAAGCCCAATTGTTTTGGTGGGAAAAAAGGATGGCCGAACAAGAATTTGTTGTGATTATCGCAAATTAAATAAAAATGTCATTAAAGATAGGTTTCCACTACCGCTTGTTGAAGACGTACTTGACAGTTTACAAGGTGCGAAAATATTCAGTACTATAGATTTGAAGAATGGGTTCTTCCATGTCCCTGTTGAAACTAGCAGTACTAAATATACTTCCTTTGTAACACCGAGTGGACAGTATGAATTTTTAAGATGCCCTTTCGGATTATGTATCAGCCCTGCAGTGTTTCAACGGTTCATAGCTCATATTTTTAGAGAATTGACGGCGAAAAAATATGTTATCTACTATATGGACGATATTATTATCTTGAGAACTAATGAAGAAGAAGGGATAGAGAGACTAAGAGAAGGATTGGATTTAGCTAAAAAGTATGGGTTGGAAATTAAAAAGAAAAAATGTCAGCTGCTTAAAAGAACAGTTGAATTTTTAGGGTTTATAGTGGAGAATGGGAAAATTAAACCAGGTGAGGCAAAGATTTTGGTTATTAAAAAATTTCCGGAACCGACCACTTTCAAGCATATTCAATCTTTTTTGGGACTTACAGGATATTTCCGAAAATTAATAGCTGGATATGCTAATATTTCAAGGCCGTTAAGTGATCTATTGAAGAAAAATGAAGTTTTTGTATTCGGAGATGCACAGAGGAAAGCTTTCCAGATTTTGAAAGAAAAATTAACAGATTCACCAGTTTTGCATATTTATCAGCAAGGGGCTTATACAGAGTTACACACTGATGCGAGCATACATGGCTATGGAGCATGTTTGTTGCAAAGGTCTAGTGAAGATTCGAAAATGCATCCGATATATTATTATAGTAGAAAAACGACACCTGCAGAACACAAGTATACTAGTTATGAGTTGGAAGTACTTGCTGTTATCAGAGCGGTAAAAAAATTTAGAATATATATATAAGGAACAAATGTGAAAATAGTCACAGACTGTGACGCTTTCAAGAAAACTATGGAAAAGAAGGATCTCACAACAAGAGTAGCTAGATGGGCTCTATAAGTTATAAATAAAGAGTTCTACATACCAAAGTTGAAAGAAAAAATTGAAAATTTAATTTCAAACTGTAAGGTAAATGTTCCTATTATCGGCACTACCCCAATTATCGGCACTTTTTCATTACAACCCTTAAAAATAAGGTTTCTATCGAAAGATAGTTGAATAAAAGTATTTTACGTATTTCTGCGGACCTTTACCTACGTCACTGCAAAATCCACCGATCTTCAGCCTAAATCGGTAATGACAACTGTCAAAACTATATTGGTCACTTGGCGCCAAACTCCTGTGTGAAGCTTTTCTTGTTACATGTGTTAAGAAACAGGTAAGCTACATCGTGTTATACTTCCTGATTAATCTTTTGTATGAACGTTTTCTTAGGTTTTGTATGTTTAGATATCATTATTTTTGATATTTATAGGTTGAAAACTATTTTTTTTATATTTTTTCAAGTATTTCATGGGTTCCGATAATTGGTTGTTTGTATAAGTTGGTATTAAGATCGATTTTAGCTTTAACTTTCATCTTGTCCTAAGAAATGTTTGGTCATTATATGCAATATGAAGTCATGATATTTCGGACCAATTTTCGGCACCCCATATTTCCACTACTTACTAGCCTATTCTTAACGTGAAAACTGTGCCGATAATACATGCATTCACGTGCCGATAATTGGATTTTTTTTTTTTTTTAAGGTCGCAATGGAAAAGAAAAAACGAATTCAATATTCTGTTGAAGGTATTAGTACAGCTGTTGACGCTGTTCGATCAGGAATGCCATTCAAAACTGCTAGCAAGTTATATAAGATACCTATATCGACTCTTCAAGATAAAGTGAAGGGTAGAACACTTCTAGAGAAGAAATGTGGACCAGAAACGGTACTAACAAAAGAAGAAGAAAATTTACTGGTAGCATGGCTATTTCGAATTGCGGACTGTGGATTTCCAGCAACGAAAACACAATTGTTAGATGGTGTTCAACTACTAGTTAAAGAATTGAATAGACCTAATAATTTCACAGATGGGAGACCCGGCCGGAAATGGTACGAATTATTTTTGAAAAGGCACCCAGAACTGAGTGCAAGAATTTTTCAAAACCTCACATGTGCTAGAAATAGCCTAACAGAAAACCGCATTCGACAATGGTTCACAGAAGTAGAAACTTTCTTAGAAACTGAAAACAATCTCAACATAACTTATGATCCCAGTCGTGTATTTAATTGTGATGAGACAGCCTTTTTTCTCAGTCCTAAGGGAGACAAAGTTTTAGTCAGGAAGGGAGATAGAACAGTTTACTCATTTGTGAGCAATGATGACAAAGAATGTCTAACGACTTTGGTTACGTGTAGTGCTTCCGGTCATATTTTACCATCAATGATCGTTTTTAATTATAAAAGAATTCCCAAATCAGTTGTTGAAAAAGTACCAAAACACTGGGGAATCGGAAAGTCTGAAAATGGATGGATGACTGGGGAAACTTTTTTCGAGTATATTGCCAATATATTCCATCCTTGGTTAGTTGCTGAAAAAGTTCAGTTTCCTGTTATACTGTTTTTGGACGGACACACATCCCACCTAACGATGGCTCTCAGTAAATTTTGTACTGAAGCTAAGATTATTCTTATAGCTCTTTGTCCAAACGCAACACATATTTTGCAGCCCCTGGACGTGGCAGTTTTCCGGCCTCTAAAACTTGAGTGGAGAAAGAGCGTGCATCGTTGGAGGATGGAAAATAATGGACAGAAAATTACCAAAGATTTATTTGCACCCATTTTGGAAACAACTTTCCAAAAAATTACAAATATTCCCGATATAATCAAGAATGGTTTTAGGACTTGCGGACTTGTTCCTTTCAATGTAGAAAATATCAAATTTTCAAAATATTTCAAAATTGAGGTCAGAGCACAAGAAACTCTTGAAAAACAGGAAAAGCCTACAGAGGAACAAGCAGCCTTAAGAAGCTTAGAACAAAATATCTCAAAAGAGATACTCAGATTTTTTCACCTTTCCGGGCCAGTTTGGAAAGGAGCAGTAGAACACTCCAGCCTGTTTTCGCTCTGGAAAAAAATGAAGAACAAAATATCGAATAAAAACGACAATGAAATAGAGTTAACTGATCAAGTAGAGCATGATAATGAACTTCAAGAAGACTTTATTTTGGAAGATACAATTACAGAGATAGGAAATGAGAACCAAATGAATGTGACAGAAAAATTGAAAATTACGAATTCATAAATGATCAATTACAAAATGAACACGAAGTCCAAGAACAATCAAATGTGGAAGGCATTATATTGATAGATGTAACACATGATAAACCAACTGACGTCACAAAAATACATGAAACTGACCAAATAGTAACTGAAGATTTACACTTTGAAAATAAATTCCAAGAACACTCAAATGAGAAAGACACATTTGCAGATAGAGATGACAATGGAATTGATATTACAGAAATTATTGATACTGAAAATGTATCTCTCTTATTAGGCATTCCTGATGAAGAAATTCCCATCATATTTGTGAATACACCGGACAAAGCTAATCATGATGCAGTATTTGGAGATGTACTTACTGAAAATAATGATATCAATCAAGTACAACATACCTTGAATCCCAACTTAGCGCCAGAAATAAATGTTATTGGAGAAAGTATATCGGAAAACTCTTTTTTGAATTCAGAACGGAACTCTCAACGAATGGAAACTACTCTAGTTACCACGCCTACTAAAGTAGATTCAGAATTAAAAGAGACAAATTCAACTGTTTTGGAAAAAGAAATGCCTCTTTATCAAAATGTTACAGATGAATCTATTCCGACTCCATTCAAAAAATTTTTATTTTGGCCTACTCCTAAGGAAAATATTGCTAAGCGAAAATTAAAGGATAAAGTACCTGCTGTAGCAACATCATCTCAGTGGCAACAATACTATAACAGAAAAGAAGAAAAGAAAAAACAAGAAGAACAGCTAAAAATGCAAAGGAAGGAAAAAAGAACCATACAAAAAGAAATTGATGTCGAAAATAAAAAGAAGAAAGTCAAAATCGCCGACTTACAACCTTCTATTAGAAGAACTTCGATTCGAAGGGTAGCGACTAAACTACAGAAAGCTAAAAGGGACCTATTTTCAAAGAAAAAAAGCAGTGCGAGGAGTGCGAGCACTGACTTTCCAGCTACTGAACCCTCAACATCGAAACCTTTCGAGGAATCTTGGCATTGTGCAATATGCGACACTGAGGATCAGCTCGATATGCGCCTTTGTTCTTCCTGCCTGAAATACTTTCATGAGAATTGCGTTGGTTTGACAGAAGATGATGAAGATGAATTTCAATGTCCCTTTTGTTAGTAAATTAATTTGATTAATGTCAATTTAACTTTTACCAATGACATAACCAAATATTTTAAGTTTATCTTTTAGAGAATACGTTTGCGTTATTAGAATTTTGAGTTTTTTTTTTAATAAATGTTTCTAAAAATCTGAATTATCACCTTTTTACATTAATAACTTAATAGAATTTGGGTAACCTGATTCTGTGCCGATAAAAGGATCTTTTAGGTGTCGAAAATTGGAACATGAATTTATTTTAGGATGCCGTTAATAGGGGCATAACAGTTTTTATATTTATTACTTTTAATAAATATTTCGCTTTAGTTTTTGGTTGAAATGAATAATTCGTATGTAATATGAGACCTTTTATCATCAGAATCGTTAATCAAAATATTCGTTGCTTGGGTATTTCATTCACTAAAATGAAACAAAATTATGCCCTAGGCTATGTAAGGTGCTTAAGGTGCCGATAATAGGGGCGTTTACCTTATACCTTGTATTTTGGGAAGAAAAAAAGAGGGGATACTTCATCCTTTGCCAAAGCTAGAAGGACCATTGGAAACGTATCATGCGGACCACTTAGGTCCCATGCCATCAACAAACAAAAATTACCGCCACATATTGGTAATTATTGATGATTTCACAAAATATGTATGGCTCTACCCGACAAAGTCGACGACTTCGAAAGAAGTTCTAAACTGTTTTGAGAAACAACGAAAAGTTTTTGGCAATCCATCAAGAGTGATAACAGACAGGGGAACTGCTTTTCGTTCAGATGAATTTGATACCTACTGTCAGAACCAAAACATTAAACATATTTTGACAACATGTGGAGTGCCACGAGGCAATGGACAGGTCGAAAGAATTAATAGGACTATTATTCCTATTCTTACGAAACTAAGTTTAAATGACCCTACAAAGTGGTACAAGTACGTCGATAAAGTACAGATGGCATTAAATTGTTCATACCAACGAAGCATAGGCACCACACCATTTGAAGTGTTGGTTGGTGTGAAAATGAAAAATAAGGAAGAACTACGAATTAAAGAAGTTATAGAAGAAGAAATAATAAAAAATTTCGCGGAAGAGAGAAGAGAGATGAGAGAAAAAAGTAAGGAACAAATTAGAAAAGTACAGAGTGAAAACCATAAAGGATACAATTTAAGGAGAAAAAAGGCTACAATGTATAAGGAAAAAGACTTAGTGGCCATAAAAAGAACGCAATTTGGTCCTGGGCTCAAATTAAAAAGGAAGTTTTTGGGGCCTTATGAAATTGTGAAGGCTAAGGCAAATGACCGTTATGATGTTGTGAAAGTCGGTAACCACGAAGGACCAAATCGAACATCAACATGTGCTGAATATATCAAACGGTGGATCGAATATGACAGCGACGAATCCGAGTCGGATTCTGAGCAGGATGGAAGAGTGTAGGATTGGTAATTCCATATACCTATGTTCACCTAGTTTACCGTTTACCTAATTTATAGTACCTTTGTTAGTTTTAATCAAGTACCAGTGTGTTGATGGGTACCAGTTGTTGAATTGTTATGTCAGAGTGAGTGACGAATAAAAATAAGTCTGTCATGAATGTGCTAGAACTGTGTTGTTTCATTCACCCCTAGACAACTACAAAACCCTACATTATTATTATTTGGCATGCTTTAAAGTAGCGTTAAAAATAGCAAGGGTTTGAATTAAAATCTTCATGTGACGCTTTGTCGTGGCCATTATGTTAGTTTTTTTATTATTTGTTTTAAATTATTATTTTGGTAATTGCCTTAAAGTAGCGTTAAATAAAAGCAAGGAATGTGAAAGAGTCCCATAATAAAGCCTTGTCGCGAGCAATTATTGCTGAAACTGTAAGAGAGATAGACCCATGCTCTATTATTTTTTGTATACCTTAGCACCAGTTTCTTTCTATTTTCTACCTCATTTATCTATCTCTACCTTATTTTATCTATCTCTACTTTATTTTATCTATCTCTACCTCATTTTGTCTATCTCTACGATCTCATAAGAAGCCACATAGCTTTGCTCTTTTGGCTTTATCTCTGGAGATTGGTTACCTCAGTTTGACTCCTTTGAACAGCTGCCAATGTAGTATCTTTTTATTAAAAAAGAGGCTACAGAAGACTACCGTGATAACATACACTTGGATAATATTAACGTTGAACGGTCCAAAGTTTATCTGAAGGAATATGACTCGATCTGATATATTAATAACAAAAGAGATTGAAGATTTTTGAGTCTTTTTACTAATAGCGTTTCCGATTGGTAAATTCAGTGCGCACTGAGTGTATTTGCCTCTTTTTAAGCGACCTGTAGAAAAAAAAGACAGAAATAGAAAAAATTGCACCAGTTCTGCACTAGATCTACCAATTGGAAACGCGATTAGAATGACTGTTACGCAGAGCAGTTTTAATTATTTTCTGGCGCAATAGATATCGTAGTCGTCTTTCTGACATTCACCTGATTTAGGCCATCTTATTTCTTACTTTGCTGACTCTAAAGTTTCAATGTCTAATTTTTCCATCAAGCGTCCTTACTGATGCTTTATTAGAAGGCTAATCAACAATAACAAGCGATAATGGAATTCAAATTATGAATATGCCAAAACTACTAACTAATAAGAATAATAATCCCTATTTTAATCGGAGATGATTATACAACTTCAAGAAACCTTCAGCTGATTGCTGGTCATTTCAAATTTACATAATAATTGACGTTGTTTTTGCTGGCATAAAATCTCTTTATTAAGTGCGGCTTAAAATCTATTTTTAAAGGAAGAGAGTTAGTCAAGGTACCATTACGCCATGTTATGATAGGACACGAAATTTGTGTGGCACTTCGGCACGTACAAAAACAATCTTCTAATGTAGTGTGTCGGCTTTTGGTATAACAACAAGGATTTGTAGGTACCACCAAGGTTGAGTGGTGCAGGGTGCTGAATTGACGTTGACGATGAATGTATTTTTAAGAAAATACTGCGGGGCGCGGCATTTTCAATTTCCACTATTTTCTAAAGCTCTCCCTATTATCAATTATGTTCTTCCATCCACCCCCATGGTAATTTAACAGGCGGTATTATTTTTAGTGCGAACTAAGTGTTGTGAATCTCGCTGTAAGCCGGTATATTTGTACAAGCTTAGTCATTGTAGGACGTAGCGAAATGGGACTTACAGGGACTGATTGGGGGTGGATTCTAATCAGGAATATTTTATCATTAGTATGTAGTCGTTTAGCTTCCATAATACTCACCAAATCTAATAATTTTTGAATAATTGGCAGAAATGTAATTGAGAGACGGAAAAAGAAGATTCGTTTTTTCAGTTTGACTAGCATAAGTATAAATTGTTTAAAACATATTACGGTTACGATTTAAAATCAAAGATTTTAATTTGTTGTATGGCATTGTGATGATAAATTTATCATTTACGTAACATGTTTCATCTCTTCTTATTTTCATTATAAAGTTGTTTTTTTTCCATTTCAGAATCAGCAAAATAATAATTCCTAATATTCTAAAAATATCCGCAAAGTTCAAAATAATACAAGTGCTGCCATCTATCCATTATGCGCGTAAAATGCAAATATCTATTAAATGAAGGTACTGCCATCTAGTACTTGATGGATTTATTTTTCAAAGTATGATTTTAATTATTTCGCATTTGACAGTCATTTGTATTTTCATATACAGGGTGTCCCACGGTGGATGGCGTATTAGTCGTTTATGGAGAACTAAAAAGCGGATCATTTTGAAAATTTGGCAACCGGGATAAACGACCATGATCTACACTTTAAAAATATTTTTGACCATGCGGTGTTGCCGCTTCTACTTTAAACTAGTGGCAACATCACTATTTTAAATGGAACACCCCGTATTAAATTGCATATTTGGATTCTACGTAAAATTCTAAGCAGATTTCATGTGATATACCCTATACCTAAGTTCAACTGTTTTGGAAATATTGACAGTTGAAAATTGACTTTTTGCAACTTTGACAGGCTGTAGAACCTGAACGGTTAATTTTAGAAAAAAACCGATTTTTCATTCCTATCTTAGATTTCTATAAACTATCATTTGACACCAACTTAGAATTAAATCCATGATTAAAAATTTCAGTTAAATTTAATCTCTGGTTAAGTTCAAAGTTGGTGTGCGAAATTACCAAAAGCAACAAACTTGAATAAAACCAAGAGAATAATTTTGCCTACATAATTTTTTATTGAGTGGTATTCGGCTAGACTATTTCACGAGAAAAACAAGCCAAATTTTCATTAGGAAAATTTATTTTCTTTAGGTGACACATTCAATAGTTTTTTACATTAACCACACAAAATTTTGTCGCTGAAAAACCATCATGTTGGTTTTGTCCAGGTAGGAACAGGTAGGAGTTTTGTCAGTAGGAAACCGGCCGTTCCTATGACATTTTGCCAGTGTAAAACACTCTAGTGAAATAGTCATTGAAAGAAATTATATTTATCTCACTTTAGCAAATGGATATATTTCTGTCTTTCTCTAACTTTTGATTCTGAAATAATCAATTTTGGCCCAATGACCTAATTAATTAGCAGTTTTTATTTTTGACATAACCTTAATTTAAATTATTATAAGTTGTGAACAATTAAAATAATTCTAGTGGATTTTTATCTATTCTCTTTTATTCCACGTGGGTTTTCATTGAGTTTTCATTGTAAAGTAAATATGATCTTTTGGGTGTACTCGTCTGATTGGTTGAACTGGTTAAAACGCAGTTGAGTATAAAAATCACAGGATCGTTTTCCTGTGGGCTTTGGTTTCTAAAACGTTCTCTTTCCTCGACAGAAGTCTGGCAAGCAAGTCCTTTTTATTTTTAGTAATTTTTGCTCTTAATTTTTGGATTCTCCCTTATAGATTTTTCAATATATTTTGCTATCAATTCATATTATCATATCATTGTTAAGTTTTTACCTGATAAATCTTATCATATCTATTCTCGAAATATAAATATATTTTAATTTTTTTATCTAATTGTTAT